TGAGACGTCGATGCACCGTTTGATAGCTGTAAAGCGACGCTTGTGCAACTCAGTCAACTAAACAGGTGAATAAAATGCTACTTTGACAAAAAGTAGTAGTAGATGTGTAACAACCAACTCAATTTTCCACATGCATCAATGTGACATCTTCTAGCATCTACACTAAGCCATAACCGTAAGACAATATACAACCAAACTACGAATCGCTTATAACTTCCACACTTTGCTCTTGCCAAATAGGCAAAGCATTTACAGTCCACGTTATACAATCAGACGACACAGTTAGACTGAAGCCAACCTTATTGAAAAAAAGAGAGCATTGCTTAGTAGCATCAACAGACTGAGAAAAGGAAGCCGTGGGCAGGGCAGCATTCAGTTCGTTGTTTATACGATCATCCGATTTGCGCCAAGTATGCAAAAGTTTCTAAAACCAATGAAGTCGAAAGTTTAAAAAACCAGATGCAACAAATGACACTAACAAATACTTCGGGGATTGGACAAGAAGAATAGTCGAAAATGCATAAGATATAAAGACAATACCTTATGGTCAAGCATTTATGAGGCATATTAGGCTGAGAAATTTTCCTACCTCAGCTATCCAAGCCCACACTCAGGACAGAAAAATGCATCACAAGTATGAAAAAAATTATCTATAATTACACTAAAATGCAGGAAGTCGTCACATGGAATGTCATCTCCAATTTCATCCATGAACCAACAGAATGCGAACCCACGTTAAATTGGCAGGCCAGGAAATTCGGGAGGAGCGGGAGCAAAACAAAACAGTCGAAGATAATTCAAAAACTAATAGTTAATTTTAAATACTAAAAGATATATGAAAGTAATTTTTTTTATTGCGAAAGTGATAATCAACGGGAACCTTAGCGCCTGATATCACTAATTACTAACATGCAACTATCTCTCCTTTTACACAGATTGATTTGCAGCGTTGAAGTTATGCCAAACATCTTAGGTTTATTTAATTAACAAGTTTAATGCTGCAAAGTGTAGCGTCCCGAGACTTCCAATGGGGTAGTAGATGGCACAAGTGAGGTTGAATACATGTATTCCGAAAGCAATAGGAGAATTGGGGCCTGAGCGCGACCCGAAGGCCAGCCCACGTGTACAGGCCCCAGACAAGTCCTAAAGTGACCGCCAAACGTCAGATAGTCGCTTAGCGTTTATGAGAGGGTTAGTAGCTCTGCCACCTAACAGTGACGCAGTCGGGTGTCACAGTATTGTCCTCACCTTTTCCTAACAGAAATTACTTAATGCGCATATTGTATCAGCTTATATATCCAGTAGATTGCATGCTTCAATTAGGCGCTGATATGTATTCGAAAAGTGATGAATGGTTCTGAGCGATAGGCACAGAAATACAGCGATTTCTGGTAATTATTGCGTTGCGTGGAATGTAGTATTAATTATAAAACCACTTGGAACTGCAACTTCAGTGTGTGTATAATTTTTGATTTTGCTCTACCATTGTGGTCTCGCCTTACACTCTTTTAAAACACTGAATTGGAGAGAACCTTTTTTTCCAATCTACACATCTGGAGTCAAATCTTACATATATCTCTTTTTTAGATTTGTTGCATTTAATGATATGGTCTAAGGATCTGACTGAGTTGTGCTAACTGCGCGGCAACTATAGCTTTGTTTCTCGTGGCGCTTGGTTCGCTTCTGGTCGTGTGCACAGTTGTGGTGTTGCTGATGCGTTCTCGCCGAGGGCATTCGCGTTCCTCGGATAAGGGCTCCTTCCAAAGAGTCATTATCGAGGGTTTGAAACCTCCATTCGATAAGGATGACAGTATCCGCACTTGGCTTGCAAGATATGGAACCGTTGAAGGCAAGCGCATCTCTGGTTGTGTAATTTCTGTAAATCACTACATACTTGCGTTTTGTGGAAACATAAGTGTTTAACTGTCTGAAAGTATCACTGTTATTTCTCACACATCAAGTTTGCTTGCCGTTCACAGAAATTGAAAGGTTCCACAAGAGCATCGTTGTCAAGTTCTCGTCAGAATTGCAGGCAGCAGAGGTGGTTCGGTGTGAAAACGGGATTCGTGGTTCTGGATCTAACATTAAGGTGCACCTCGCAGACTCGGACACGTTTCATCAGCTCGTTCGAGTACGCTCGAATCGGAAAAGGTCTTTATCGCTACAACAAAAACGAAGTGCTAGCTCCAGGTCAGGGTCATCAACAAGACTTGCCCGCAAACCGTGAGTGTTAAAGTTGGCTTGTCTTGTCAATTTCTCTGTCTTGTCACCCTTGTGGTTGTGGTTTTCACTTATTGTCTCTAACTTGACCTGCTCTGTATCAATCATACCTGCTTAAGTATTGGTCATTTTTACCTTACTCGAACTGTTGCAATCATTCCTTTCACCTTTATGCTCAAATTTTAGTATGCTGAATTTTCTTTAGAAGTTGTTACAACTTATTACGGTCTGTTGTGTTTAATTGCTGAGTTATCGAAACCTCATGTACGCAGGTGGGATGTAGGAATTTTCCAGTTTTAATCCTTACGGAAGCTTTTGAGATAGGAGTTACAGTTTCAGCATGATGCAGCCTACTTTAAAGATGGCTTTCTTGTGGTAAATATTGTCTGAGTGAGTCTTTATAGTCATCCACTTTGCGTCCCCTTAGAGTGCCAGACATAATGTCGTCTCCGTTATTCAATCGAAAAATCTTAATCAAATATGGCATTTCCATTGCCGAAGGGCCTTGAAAGCTAACGTTGTTTTTTCCAACAAATGGAACGGGAGGCATTTCAACCTCGTATCTTACCACATATTCAAGGAGCGGAATTAGAATGACATCAAATGTTTTTTTTTATCTATTAACTTTCGAACTCCATCTATGCCTCTTGCTAAATGTGACTTGAAAATGCGTTGAAATGCTTAAATCAGAGTTCAACAATAGCCCTATTTTTCGCTTGAAGGCGACCTGTTTTCCCTTTGTATGATCTAAGAGCCTCCACATTTTACTAAACTCCTCTACATTTTGCATGCGTTCGAAGGCGCAGCTTTGCTTTCTAATATGATTCTCTGGTTGTGGACATTCGTAACTTTTTCGAAAGAGTTTCTGCATCGTTCACATTTGACCGACAGTGCTCAATTTTTATTAACTTAAACTTGCTATTTCCTGGCTTCCTTCCTATATTTGCAAAGGGAATACCCTACGGTGCCATTTTTTTGCTAACCCTTATGGCCTGATTGCTTTTAATCAAGCTTGAGAACACTAATTCTACTTTAACTATTGCTACCTCCTTTTCTAGTCGTTTGAAAACGGTAGGTTCTCGTCAATCAGATGTCAGGAGCCAGCCTTCCAAGGGTGAGACACCAGCTCAGGAGCCCAAGGAAGCGACAATCTCGTCACAACAGCAACATCAACACCATAGTCTTCAGATCCCCTCCACTTCTCGAAGTTCCGGCGAATACGACGTGGCTATTTTGGCCATCACGCACGATCTGGTACAGTACGCGGAAGCGGTGCAGGCTCTTCTTCATCGTCGCGCCGTCGAGGAGAGAGGCGGGGTATTGAATCATCAGGATCAGGGTCAACCACAGGAGGTGACGGATCTTCACGTCCGCCCACCTAGGGTTAAGATCATGGTATTGATGAGTGTGGACCACATCGCACCCTGTATGCAGGATCTAGGGGAGGAGGGTGTGCTCTTCGCCATCCTCCTCAATACCGCCAACATGACTCACAACTCATGCACTCTTCGCATTCTGCATTCGTCCACACAACAAGGTGCGTCTTTATCTAGGCTTGATTGAACTTGTCGACGCTTATGATTGATCAGTATTTTCGTTTGGATTTGATTGACCTAATTGCAAGCGTCCATGATGTCTTTGGTGGCGGGTTAGAGGACACTTCTTCTATGTCTTGTTATCTGGGTCAAAGAATACGGTCACCTCTTCGAGCCATTTAAAACAATGGACAATTTTTTAGTTAGCCTAATCAGATCTCCAAACAAATTCTTCTAAGTGGAACAGAGCTAGTCTTCCATTTGCTTGTTTTTATTCTTGTAATGGTCTTGATATCGGTTACTTATGCTTTGAATCTGGCAGAGGTGTCAACTCGACTCTTGACTCATTCCATATTTCTATTCACCAGTGTAGATTGTGTGGACTTTTTCGTCGTGTTGGTATCGATCTAGCTAAACGCATGTAAAACTTGAATCTATCCGCCGCTTTTGAATTCTATCTACTGAGCAATGCCATTTTGGGCTGGGCAGAGGATTTAATATTGTTCATGAGCCTGTCGATCTGGACAATGTCTAACTTCCCCTTTCCTTGGTTTATCTTCTGTTGCTGGTTGCTTTGCTTTGCATAGTAGTCTCGCCAATCGGTTATTTTGATTTGCAATACTGGTTTACATGAAACAAAGACTTGAGGTGAGCCCATCCGCTTTGTTACTCAGTTCGTATTTATCTGCTCTCGGGTCAGGTATCCACAGGCTCTTTTTTTTGAGGCTAGGGGAGGACAAATTTGGCTTTTAACCGAATACTTTGTCCCGCGAGTTAAGTAACATAAAACTATTCCCAAGCTCATTCTTCTATCCTGTTGGTGAATCACGAGTTTAATATACGATATCATTTGCCAAGTAACCCTCCATTCTTCTCAATGCTGTTCCAGCATCCATAATCATTGTCTTAGGTTTTCAAAAAATAGAAATACTATAAGGAACTGAATCGAATCGCGTTGTACCTGCTTATCAGTTTTGTTTTTGTTGACGTGCTCCAGCAGTAGGTAGTCGTCGGTAATGTACCGAGTCTTCGGCCGTTCTAACATCTGGCACACTTGGAGAAATGGGGTGACTTCTGATATACCTAGACGGTTTCTACTCGTTGAAACTTTATCCTCGTCTGCTCGTAGCTGTTGCGGGGAGTGGGAAAACACGTTACCAAGTCTTGATTCTCTTTTGCTAGTAGCGTTTAGGTGCGGCATTCTGGCAACACTGTCCAATCTATCTCCATTCCATCGGTTCTGTTTGTCGTTGCCACGATTAAGGTGCGAGACACTCACTAATACAGTCAAATGGACTGAGAGATTAACCATTAATACGGAGACTGATGGGGTAAGGCATTAGTAGTGGTTAAGGCTTGAGAACCAATAACAACTCTATGCAGGTAAATATAAGATTATGAAAGGGACCTGTATCTCGTGGGTCTTACGGCGGACCGTTCTCAACTTTACAAATTTTGGCAATGTATTTCATTGCGATCCATTCTCCACCAACAACGATGAATGGGACCTGTTCGAAATAGTGCTTCAGTATTCGCACATATTTTACTCAATTCGCTTCGTTTCATAACTGGGAGATTTAATTGCCCCACAGAACATCGCAACATGCCTCTACCTGATGCGATTGATCTGCTCTTGCGGGACTTTTCTGAATACCTGGAAGTCGAAGCATCTTCATCCGCAACCGTCTCAAAGGCGACCTCTCTACTTCCTCTGTCAGCACCATCACTATCGTCTCTTCAGCGACATTCACAACAACCTCAACAACTTAAAGCTCGACAACAAAAACAAATGCGTCACCGTCGTCGCTGTTGTCGCCATCACCATCGACATATTTCCCTCTCGTCTCCATCAACTTGCACCTCTATTTCCTCCTCTTCATTGTCCTTCAGAACTGCTTCCTCCTCGGCTACATCATCGTCACGCCACCTGCATAAGTCGAAGCGACGGTCTCATCAGTTGCAGCAGCAGAAGCAACCGCATTTACACCGTCGGCGCAACCATCCACAACAGCAGTGCTTGGCAAGAGAAGAGACAGATGCATTTTTAAATACTTTGGGGGTAGAAACGATTCCAGCACCCGACGATCCTAGCTTCCTAGCGCCATCGCGTCATGTCGCAGTGCTTCTCCGCATGCTAGCCGATTCACGCATTCTCTCAGTGGGCGAGTTGGACGAAATTTCCGCCTTTATTGCCCAACGGCGCGCACGGTTAACCAGCGAACTCATTTCAGGTAATGTGTGTAGCAGTAACTATATTTCTTTGTACTCTTCGAAACTTTCAGAAGTTGAACTTCTGAAATACGGCAAAGGGAATTTGTACACGACCTTTAATTCTTTACATTGAAATTATCAGACCCATGTTGTTGCATTGTGGTTTAACCACAGATTGAGTTGAAGAAGGCGTTTGTAATCCATAGTATCCTGAGTATAATGTTCACTTCACCACTAAGGGCTGTAGCCATTTTGGTTTGGCATTCTGGTAGCTGAACCATGGAACATTGGGTGGATTAACAAAATTTTTTGTTACGTGGCCTTCTTTCATTGGATCTTTCCTTTCTGTTTCTTAATTAGTTTCTACTTATACGAGGCATTTGATTTGAAGAAGAAGTAATCATTTTGAAGACAGTGATGGCTTTCTGTATACTCGCTCTTATTGTTGACCGAATTCTGAAATTTGGATTTCTCGGTATTTTGCAAACCTGGTAGTCCATCACCATATTTGCATCTGCAATGCAGCACTTCCAAAATGCAAGGAAATTTACCTAATACTCGGGAACCAGTTCCATTAGGCACGTCACATCACCTTCATCTCATTTCGCCGAAACAGCATTATCTGGCCACCTAGCAGGGTCATTCTGAGCTTTGCCCTGCACCCTCTTTCGTTCGAAGCTGGCAATTAGTCTCGCTGTAAATTGGGGCAACTGCTTGCTGTGAGTGTTTGCATTCTTGAATTTATACGGCAGATTTCATTCTCCCTATAAATGTGGGTACTACTCGTTTGGCAAATTTGGTTTTTTTGCGATGTCACCAATGAACGGCCTGCTCATCGTTGGAGTTATGAGGCGTGAGACCTTGGAAGTAGACCTATTATGAGTCTTCAGGTGAATCCAAGGGCCCTTAATGCGGAGGAATTCCAGTTTGTCATTTTGGAGCCGAGATTGCAGCGAGTTGATTTTGACGGCTCTCCACTATTCCACGCAGGCGTAAGCTCCAATGCGGCCTTGAAGGCTCGTATCATGGAGACGCTCTATCCAAGCTTCAGAGGCGGAGGTGGTGTAGCAAGGGGTCATGTCACCTCGACACCCTCTACAGCACTACAAGCTCGACGCTCCCTGCCCGCCAATGTGACTAGCAGCTCAACTGATGTGGTCAGAAGCACGACTGCCGCTGCTGCTGTTGCCTCCAGTGCAGCTGTTGTTCCTACTCAAACACCCTCTGTGGGAACGGCTAGTTCAAAGTATTCAGGCCTCGTTTCATTTCTCTATCCTCCTAGCGTACCTCCTTCAAATCCATGAACTTGGTGTTTGTTCTTTTTATCCTCGTTTGGTTTTTTCTTACATTATTGCGTTTACTGCCGACTGTTTTCTGAGCTTTACGTCTCAGCTGCAAGATTGTCAATAATAACCCTTGACCGGAAAGGGATGTTCATCCTTATTATTTCTGGATTAGGTGCGGGTTCGGTGTAAGAGCTTTGCATTCTTCCAAAGTCGAGCATGAAATCGACTTTCCCCTCCTCATTTTAGCGGGACCGCTGGTGCGTCGCGTATCTCCCTCTTCCCAGTTGTGCATCGACACGTCGGAACCGTTGAGTTTGAACGAGTCGAGGTTCTCAAGTGCTGGCGAGGTGATCATCACACCGAATGTTGGACCAAAGAAGTCGATGTCCTTGCACAGAGAGGCACTCTCCTTTAGTCGTTACCACGTCACATTCAGCAATTTGTCCAATCGACGTTTTCCGCGACCTCGTCGAGGTTTGAAGGGAAAGTTTAGAAAGAACGGATCCGAATAACGTCGATGTAATGGCACCCTTCCATTAATTTGCATAAGTCTATCAATTTAATCGACTACCTTGGAATACTCATGCAATAGAGGTCAAGTTGACGTCGCTTACGTCGTTATAATGGTGCGAGTAGTTAGCGAACTTCATTGGTATCGTAGTAAAGCGACGTACGACTCTTCGTCAAATTTTCTTCGCCCATCTTTTTGTTGGACCGCAAAGCGACTCGGCCACGGAAGGTGGTTTTGTCTGAAGAGCTGGGCAGCTGACGTCTGAGCCACTTTCGCATAAGTTCACAGTGTTATTCGTCATTGTTGATTGCTTCAAAGGCTTTCCCAGCAGATTGGCGATCGCTACTGTGGTCCGCATCGTCAACTCGAGTGATCGACTGGCAGGTTTTAAACCAAGTGTTTTATCGCCTCTCGTGTTTTTATAGTTAATAAGTTCGTTTGTAAGGCACTCTATAACCCTACATCGATCCTCTCATTCCGCTCCCCTGTTGTCGGAGTGGACGGATCAGACTAGCGATGCACCTTGTAACTCACTTTTTCAACTAGCTGGTACAATGGGTTTTGAGAAATCTTGTTTGTTCTGTTGGGGCGTATTCAAACTTCCCAGCCAAGGGTGTGGGTCTATAGTTGGACAACGATCTCGTAGTCTGGCATTTCCATTCTTCGTGTTGATAATGAGGTCATTCGTCGACTCAGTTATTGGGCAGAGTGCAAAATCACCTCCAGCGATGCTCAGATAGGAGGTCTCCCTTGCTAACGCTGGGGACCTTAATAATTGGCGACTGAGAGGGGGAGTGAGGACTGTCAAAGCCGCGTGGTGGAGTGCCATGATTTCACCTGCGAATGGACTTTTAAAAACTTATGATCTTTTCGACAAATCTTGCTAAAGCTGGAGGATGCTCGTCAAAATGTGTTCATCCGTTACAACCCTGTTCTGGTCCACTCTTCCTTAGAAAGTGACGCCTAGACGAATTTCATTAGTTCATCTTTATCTTGTCCGCTTTAATCTGATTTCAACTTTGGCATCGCCTTCCAGAGGAGTGCTATGCGGAGGTGAGATTAGGAAACAGCTGAGATCACGTTTTCATTAGGAGTCTCTGATTATGATGCACACATATCACTTCGTTTCACTCCTCAATAGTCATCATGTTAGAAACAGCTTTTAATCCTGATTAAACGATTTGTTAGGTATTTGTATTAGCTGAGGAAGCTGTATAAATCAAACCATTTGCTTATGGTTTTCTACATCACTTTCAAGTTTTTTCTCCCTTTTGTGAGTTTTTGATACTTTGTCGACCAAAATGCGGCCACGCAATGTCTGAAGTCTGCCAACTCGGTGAAATTAAATAGGATCTGGAGGTGTATAGGAGTAATATGAGTCCTCGTGTTCTTCAACAGATTAAGTAGTAGCCTTTGGTTTAGCAAACCCTATCGCCTTATCCCATTTTTGAGAAGGTTTCTTTTCATACTTTTGCTCGGAAAGGACATCCAACCTTGACTTCATTGTTTGGTTTCCTCGCTACTCTACCGATTTTTCTGTTGCTTTTGAAAGGGCTCTGCCATTGTCTTCCGAGGTGCACTCTTCATGGATACCGTTACGGTTTCTCTTTATGACCGGCTGCTCGCCCCCAAATAACGGCGCCCATTGCTGGTGGGGGAAAGCGGCTAAAAGTAGAATCAAGTGGCTGGACACTCCTTATCCCTTGTGTTTAACCAGCTGTCACAACCTATTCTGCCCAAATTAAATGTCAGCCCTAACTACTCTGCTAGAGGTTCTGCTTACATCTAATAAGTAGTACTTGTATGTAACATTAAATGCTACCCCTTAATACTTTTCCGCTCTTTGCTATCAAGGGAGGAATCGAAAAGGAAGTTTCCCGCATTTTGGCTTAAACTTTGATTCGAGAAGGTTGATCATCTAAGTTTGGAATGGCCTGTTTTTTTTTCTATTTTTAATGACGAAAGGAAATTCGAGCTGACAATCATTTGCTCGGAATGTCGTCTTTCACTTTCTCTACTGACGTTTTGTCAGTAGCATGTTATAGCATGGGCATTGATCGCCTTTTGCTGAAATTTTAGCACTTTACTCTCGAGGAATGGAAATAAAGCTTATTATCATCCTTTGGGGGATTACGGATGCCTTTTTATTTGCCTTTTCGGGATGTCGTATTGGAGCATGTCCGTTATTTTATAATGATGAAGAACGGAAAAGAGGAACGCAAAAGGTGCGGCCTTTAACGTGCTGCATGCTATCAATATGGCAAGGGATTTGGTATCGCAGTTCTTATGCTCTTGTCACCTAAAAGGGGAAGAAAAGTCGGCTCAGAATGCCCTCCGATTATTTGACGATTTGCAAAGCGCACGTACCTTCGAACCGTTCCGCCTTTACTCGGTTGCTGCAAAATCGTTCTCTTACTTTGTTCAAGAAACTTGGTCTCACCTCAAGGTTATGAATGCTAAAAATGAAATGAAAGCAGGGTTATTCACCGCTGCGTTTATCTTATCAGTAATTACTGGATTTCCTACTCATTCGCGTTTTCATCAAACTCCACATCATCCAGGTCGCGCGAGACACTGTCCAAGAAGGCGCGTAGATTGTCCTCCTCATGTCCATCCATGGTATGTGGAGTGAAGGTGGCTCGTTTCAATTCCTCCGGATAGGTTGTGTCGTCCATCAAAACGACACGATAGCTGACATCCAGATTGTAATCTAAGATTTCTGATGTCTCGAAGTCCTCGTAGTCCTCCCCGAAGGGACTCATCACACACAGGGCCACCTATCATGCGTAAATACGAAATTCTTTACTGGTGTTATTTGCTACCTAAAGTTGAGTTTAGGTGTGCCTGAATGTAAAATATCGTCTAGCAGCAATCTTGATCGGCTGTTTTGAATAGCAGTTGAGCGATCTTTACAGGAACAGTCATTTGATTTCACTGTTCTTCAGCGTCTTCTCAATGCTCATTTCTGCGATCCAAGTTGCACGATTGTGTTTTTTCTAGATCATCGAGGTATCCAGTATAATTTAATAATTACGTAAATTTAATACCAATTTTCTGTGATTCTGTGCTCATCATTTTTACCAATGAGAAGGAGATGCCCTTTCAGCGTCCCAAGATCACATTGGAATCTCATTCTTGTCCAAAAGGGCCAGAACTGTGGAGTCTATTGGATTCGGCACAATCGCAAACTTAAGCATTTAGTGTTTAGTTGAAATTCAACATAAATAATTTCCGAATCAAGCGTCCTCACTAAAAATCAGAGAAATTGCCTTTGATTGTGGTGCTTATGTATACTTCTACCTTTAGCCATCCGACAAGGAAAATGAAGTAGAAGACGCTGAAAAGAGGCACTGGCATGCTGGTGTTGGGGTTGGTTTCGTTAGCTGCGCGCTCGATGTGCTGAGTTGCCACGATTTGGCAGATAAAGTAGCTGTACACCGCGATAACTGCCACCTGGAAGAGACACGTTGGTTCTGCTTATCCTTTTGTCTTATTTGAATAGTTGACTATGAATTTCGTAGTCCATGCTTAGAACGTCGGTGAGGCATGTTGTAAAGGTTAATCTCTCATACCTGTGTGTACACAAGCGGCATTGTGAGACTGCTGAAGCGTTTAAGCTGTCCTAATTGCTTTCGAAAATTTCCGATTTCCTAAAATGTAAAATTTAGTAAATCAAAGAGCGGGGCTAGCTAAGAATACATCTTTTTGTGCTAATTCAAAAAGAAGCTGCAAGGCGATTACTTGGCAGCTTAAAGGATCATAAAAATTATGAACGCTTTTTGATGGCACTTTCACCCACCATTGAAGTGAATAGTTCGAAAATTTCAACTTGACCGTAGTGAGTAATTGATTGGATGGACGGGTGAGTGAATGGCTGGATCCAAACATCTAGGAGGTCCGTAGATGGCTACCAGCGGAAAGGAAAGTGGGACTTACGCCCAAAACATGGATCATGATCTTTGGATCAGGGATGTTGCCATGGAGAGTGGTCTTCTGCACCACACGCACAGCCCACTGGATGGGAACCCAGTACTCTGGCAGGTAGCGTTGTCGTGTGCTGCAAAAGTATCGTCTCCCAATCGCCTCGAATGCGCGGATCTCGGGGTCAGTTATTAACTTGCCGAAGGTTTGCTGAACCTCTTGAAAAATGTGAATGGCAATTCAGTCATTCCCTAAACTATCGGAATTGGACTCCATTCCCTCAGCCAATCATATTTCGCGTTCGTTGGCGCGCGGGATTCGATCGTGATTTAAATAGGGTGCAGGAAAATGAGTTGGGGAGTATTAGGAAATATGATCGCTCTATTCATGTTTGCGTCTGAGAGCATGTAGTTTAGAAAACTATCCTTCATTTTGCAATCAAAATGTATTCCGAGAAAGTGCCACGCATTTGACAAATAAAGCACTTAAACAAGGGCAACTAGTATCATTTTTCCCCTTTCTTAGGTGGTATCGTGTCGCAATCTTGAGTCAGCATACTTACTTTTCATATCATGCATGCGCTTTGTTTGCATTCCATCAGTTTCTGATGGACTCGTAAACAGTTATGTAGTTCATATCACTGGAGACCTCATGAACTGACTACATCACCAAGTTTCAGTTTCACCTTTTGATTTCTTTTACTCAGGCTGCCTGTTGGAGGCTTTGTGAGACTTCGTGTAGGTTTCCATTTTGCTGATACCGTCAAAAGACTCAGAAAATTGTTATAATGATATTTTACTGTTCTAGATTTTTGCCTCAAATTGATACACTGTGTACGACATACTTTTGTCGTTGTTGATGCTCTTTAGAGTCTCGCGCAGTCCATAGTCATCGGGTGCATCGAAAAGGCTATTCTCTACATTATTAAAGCTGAAGATACCCGAGGTTGAGGGAGACGGTTTTGGTTGCAGCTGTGAGGATGGGGTCCCAAGGAGTGGCGAGGAACCGCGCTTCTTAGAGTGCGGTCTCTTCGACTTCTTTTCATCAGGCAACTAAAATGGTAAGCTCTGGTGTTGGCGATCTTTCTCTAGTGTTTCCTAACATCCCATGAACTGTGGCGCTATCAATTTTGATTGAATTAGCTGTCGATTTGTGCTTGGCCATTGTACGAAGCAATGCTAGCTATTTTAATCAGTACTGAATATCTAATTCCATCATTTGGAAGACAGAGTCAAGCTCACAGGCCGCATTGTGGCTTAGATACTGTCCAACTACCAAGGCAAAGAAGAGACCACAGAAATCAAACGAGATGACGTCTAAACATAGAAGTGTCTCCACGTTTTGTAGCTATGTAGCCATAGATTGACCACCAATGCCGTTGCCCATCACCTACGCGCGAATAATATACAGCAATGTTTAAAGTAGCCGCTAGAAGTAAAAGAGAACCTCAGAACTCTGAAATAGTGCCTGGCGGTCATGTCGAAGTCGCTCCCTCCTCTGACCACTCGTGGAATTGCTCTGCATTCGGAAACGATTCGAGATTCTATCACTGACGGTTCGCATCAAAAGGATCCAGGAGAGGTTGAGGTATCGCATCACTGTCAGCCGGGCTCTCAGAGCCACTCGGGGATCGGCACAGTTAATTGATGCCTGGAAAAACCAATTGGGGTGCATCCCATTTCGTCTCTTCTATATTTTAAGGAATAGGTAGTCTTTCTACTCACCGCGATCTGATAGCTGATGTTGTTGAGCCAAGGGATGTACATGTATGTGTCGAACCAACGTCCAATGACACCAGACACGAAAAAGCCAAGCAAAAACGAGATGGGAACTTGACCACGGATCTCCTCGCAGTAGTCCACAACTTCATTAAAAGCTCTTTTCAAATAAGAATGAAGTTATTTCGATTATTTGTTAATAATTTATCCAGGTGTCTGATTACTTATTGGTCGGGTTATCGTCAGGTGTGAAATTGCTTTTAACAACCATTGACCTTGAATTTTGGCTAATGAAATTGAGACTTTGAGTCAGCCAATCAGTGCGCTGCCTTGAGCATCACTGAGGTGTTGGATCACTTACAATCTTTGTGAGTGGGTTAGAAACATCCAGTAGACAAGTTGAACGAAGTAGTGGACGAAGAGGTAGCCCAGCAGATCCAACCACACCAACTTGTAGAGGCTGCCCTTCCACCTGTGAGGAAAAATAGCCGGTCATGTACAAAAGTCACTAAAGGCGATGTTGGAAGCAAATTTGCCTAAGAACTGACAAAATTAACTTTCGACGAATGGTCACAGCTCTGACACTGAATTATTTTATCTACCCGTCTTGCAACTTAAAAGTAAGTCGCTAGGGACCGATAATCAGCTCAAACCATACGAGGTCTAAATTTTCACATGATAACGAGGTCATTATTAAATATGAGCCTGAAACTACTATGGTAGGCGTTTGTCGTGCTTGTAATTTAGGATTTGGTTCTCCTCTCCATTCGACTATCAGTCCCTTTCCACACTTCTATTCGTTGTCTCCATTGAGCTCCCGCGGTTTCGACTGCTCGAGTTATGCGAGACCAACAACATCCACCGCGGTCATGAATAGTGAACCGTAAACATTTCTATTTTTGCATGTTTGTCCTTTTGGTTGCGTTTTAAGCTTCATCACAGCCTCCGTAGTCCCACGTCGGCGCAGGTATTATATAACTTGTTTATGGTGCGTATTAGGAAACTGCATGCACTTGCGGCGCAACTATTCCCAAGTCCCCTACCTGATAATGAACGCCGCTGAAAAATGCGTCTTCGTCCAACATTGCACGAGAGTGACGAGTGAGGAGGTAAGGGATGCTTTTTATGGATAGTCTGAGTCTATTAAGAGTAGATTTTGGCGGTTAATCGACGTTGGCAGTGCGTCTAAGTTCCATCCGTGTGAACGAAACAGACCTGAGGGTAATTTCGGCCTACATTTTAGCAATGGAGATGTGTGCTTAAGGTGTTTGACCATTTTCCGTCTTCCCGATCGGTTAATTAGCTTTCAAATAGCTCTGATGGCTACTTGAAGATCAAGTTCAAGCAATCACTACCAATGCACATGCCTATTCATTATAGAGATTTTGGAGTGCTGCTGATTGGGATGAAAACACCTTGAGCTCACGTCAGAAAGGAAGCACCATAGCAAAGAGTTTGGTGTGAGCGATGTTTGAATACCATTTACGAATTCAATTTTGATCTAAAGTGCATTTTTTTAATAAAATCAAAAACGATATATGCTACTAAATTCGTAAATCAGTAGATGATAGCAAAAACACTGATAATAACCAATAAATCATGCAACCAGATTCACTTGAGGAAAACATGTTTTTCAGTGAGACCTGAGATGAATACAACTAGTGTTTTCGGTGAGTGTTAAGGAAGATCGCAGGAGCAGAAACTCGTTTGTGTGTAACTAAGTTTGGGGCGCCTCTCAAGCGCAAGACTAACGCTTCTATAAACTCTAAGGAGTTAACAAGGGGTTCAAATGCGAATATTTTTAGGCCTTTTGCTCATACTTCAACCTTTATGCAGCAAGGCTTCCATGTTTAAACTAATGGTGGAGTAGGCATCAAATATTTTTAAGCCACAAAGTAGAATTGTTGAGTTGTTGTATGAAAAACTCTGCATTTCTATCAAGGGTCGTAAACAGTATGAAATTTCCTCTACTTAAGCGAGTTCTGTTTTGCAACCCAACTGACATCTCGTTGTCTCTATCAAGGCTGTCACAGGTCTCATCCTGCTGGCCTGCTCACTTGCAAACGTAATAAACAATGCAATTGCACCATCAAAAGCAAAACCGGATGTCAAAGTTGAAGCACGGGTTAACATGTCTTCTTTATTCTCGATTCCGAATGCTCTGTTCATAGACATTTCTATTATTAAGGGAGAACTGAGCATTTCGTGTTTTGGTAGCCGGTTTTCACATTTTACTTACATTAATTTTTTGCTTTTAGACTGAAGTTGATACTTGATTGATGCTAGATCGGATTCCAGGTTGCGAATTAGCAAAACACTCTTTAACTCGCTTGGTAAGCAGCTTTTTGAAAGAACATGTGCGATATCAATGGGAAACAAGTGTCTATATTTGCACATCGCTACTTAAATAGAATCATGCTACATTCCCCATGATTGGGTCCGCTATCCTAAGACTAATTTTAGCTACGGACGAGAGCAAATTGGACAAAATATGAACACGATGAAGCTCGCTCCAAATAGTGTTTGTTAGTCTTTCATATGTTAACTTCGGTACCTCTTAAATTGTAATTGGCTTTGGCAGGTAATTCACAAGTTCCTTTTTAAAGGCTGGTTTTCTTATAAAAATCCTACCTTGCTAGCAGCTTCAGGAAGATGAATGTCCCACTTCCGTCAGAAATGTCATCCAGATAAGAGATCGACATGAAGTGAGGCTGTGTGGAGGTCTGCTTCGACGCTTCTGGCGACTTTTGTGATCAAATGAAGCTGTGCATGTGCACGCACACACACACACACACGGAGCTGACTCAGTTGGGTTTCACATCTATGCTTCAGCTTTCTCAAGGTTACACACTACTAGCCAATTAGGAGATGAAGCCTTAGCGACTTACGGATTCGTTGCAATCAGCAGGTTGAATGTGATTAATCTCCGCAGCTAAACATACGGAAAAGTAGTGAGTTTGTAAATAAAAGCAGGATTGCTAAGTGATCCTATGCAGTGTGGAATTAGTCTATTTGATAATAAAGCTTGGCAAGTAGGTAAACGCGCAATACGAGTTAAAGTTAATTTGAAGCAAAGATTTTGCTAAAAAAAATACTGACGCAGTATATGTTCATCTCTATTCTGGAGTTAAGGTTTTGATTGGTCGAACTGGTATTGCTCACCATTTTTATTGGCCACAAATTAGCAAATCGAAAGGTCTGAAACCCCTTCCTCCTATTGGCTAGAGCTTCGTTCCTGCGTGTTTGCTATCTTCTGGTTTCTTTCATCCACTTCATTTTATTAAAAATGTAGTAAAAATTGATACACAAATCATTTTTAGTTGTTGCGACAAGTCATTCTTTCGAAAAACATGATTTATTTTACCTTCACGGTTCAACCAGCTATTACAACGTCTCCTGATGTGGGGATATTCCTAACCATAAAGAAAACATGGGAAGTTGCGCAGGGCTGCGTAGCGAGTAAAATCAGACAAGTGTAACCACTTGACAAATTGACAGGTACTTCAAGAAGCCTACTACAGATAAGGGAATCGTTTTTTCCCTGTTTATACATTGTGCACATGCAGTTATAGTCGGCGCGTTATGAGAAATTTAAGAATTTGCTTTTTTTGTGTGGGATTTTTTACTACACACACGTACTGCGGTTCCCAGACTTCCATGCCAGTAGAAACGTCTCTGTTATCAATCTTTCTCTCAGCCTTTTTACTTGATGATAATAAGGTTACTTTAGTGTCGTCTTCCCCTCCCACGGTGTAATTTACTGCTTTACTAGCCCACCTCCAAGGTGAACATAATGATTAGACATGAAATTTCCCGAATGATAGAACCCCTCCTGCCTTTACGAAACTCTCTCCGATCACCAATCGCCTCTTCTCGAGATTCATTGCCAACACTTAGCTTCCCCTTTGTATTCCTTACTTAAAACTATACCCAACTGGACGGATGTCGAGGGGACTGCGCACATCTCCTCCTCAAGGTGCTCAGGCTAATGGTGGAAGGCTGCGTGCTTCTCCAGTCACCCTACGACCACAGCCCTCGAAGTGCGTAAGTAACTGTAAACAAGCTTGAACTCACCACCCGTAAAAAGGCGTTTGTTTACCATTTCATGGGCAGTTGTTATTTATGTTAAGGATATACCAGTACACACAGCCCTGTGCATCGTGAATAGTGGGATTATTTGCTGCAAAGATGGAAGAATGTAAATACCACGCTCTCCTACACTGATTCGTTCAGACACTTGTGGGTTGGTGTTTCATGCTACAGGATCTGGAGTTGATGTAGGCTTGTGAGGATGCCTGGATAGTACCTATAAAGTAAATGTCTTTTATTTTTGTGTCGACAATGGACGTAATATTTACGAGGGTAGTGGGAAGGTTGCGAAAACGCAAAATGCGGACTGGAATAAGGTTGAAAACGAGTAACTTACTTAAGTACTGCTTTTTGATTGGCTTAAGACTAAAGCAGCATTGACAGCATTGGTGCCTTAGTTCCAAGTTTGTTAACCTGAAATTTTGCAAACACCAAGAAATCTGAAATTTTGAGTGAATTCAAAACAAGCAGATACAAGCCATGAAAATAGGAGGGTGGCTAGCTGACGGACAATTGTGGCTGAACAATAGAGAATTACATGAGCTTTACTCACTCGTTAGTTTCAACCACATTGTCAGCCTTAGTCAATTCATCGGTGACACTCTTGATAAACTCTGGCAGATTGTCATCCTCCACACCGTTCATGGTGCTCGTCTCGAAGGTGGCCGCCTTCAGGCCCTCAGGGTACGTCGTCTCATCCATCAAGACGCTTCGGTAACTCACGTCCAAATTGTAATTTAGTATAGCTGACGTCTCGAAATCCTCGTCATCGTCCCCGAAAGGATTCATCACGCACAACGCAACCTTCATAAAGGCGAAACATGAAACTGTCAGTTGGTTTTTTCCAAAAATAAGCCCTAAACATTAATTAAAAGCCGGTTTTGCTATCGATACACAATTTTACCTGCCAAAATGGTCTCGAAGCAACTAACTTAAGGCCTTCCCACCCTACAACCTGGCAAATGGTTGCCTTGATTCATGTAATTGTGGTTCTAAAATTTAAAAGGCCTTATAAACACACCTTTAGCCAGCCCATGAGGAAGAGGAAGTAGAAGATGCTGAAAACAGGGACGAAGAAATCCACCGCAGCTTCTCCTGGGACCTTGGAAACTTCCAGAAATTGGGATGCCAAAATCTCACAAGCGAAGTAGCTGTACACCGCAATTATCACTACCTGGCCGCAAGGACCGGAGTAGATAAAGGAAAGGGAAGATGAGCAAGCGGAGTCAAACAAGGTACCTTGCATATTTGTTTGAATAACACCCATTTATGATCCCTACATTCCTTTTGATAGCCTACTACATTCAGTATGTCACCTTCCCGATCCGATACCTATTAACGGAGATTCGGAAGCCGAAGCATACCAACCAACGGAAGAGATGAGAGAGTGAAAGCCTGTAATTGTTTAATTCACATTTAATGTGGGCGTTATTTAGAGCGGTGTAAAAGAATTGCTTCGATCAAGAGTAATAACTTATTTTGTTTTATACTGCATCAAGGCCAGCGTATCGAAGTTTATTACCGTAACAACTCACTTGAGTGTAGACGAGAGGCATCATAATACTGCTATATACCTCCAGAGTTTGTAGTTGAGATCGGAATTCGCCAATTTCCTACAAGTAGATCATGAAAATTTCATCATTTTTAATGGATAGATCGAGCGATTTTTCTTGTTGGTGCATTAATGGCCCTGAAATTTAATTGGTTATCTGAGGATAAGCACGATTGTGATTGGCCATCCTTCCACCACTTAAATTGTAACGGTAAAATCCTGCTTTTCATCTACATTAGCAAAATTTAAGTAATTTTTTTGCAAAAAAATGCATTAATTCCCTTAGAAAGTTTCATAAATACGTACAGCTGAAATTGGGCTAATTGTTAGCATCGAATAAGGTTAAAATGCACAACCTTAAACAGGACGCCAATCATGCGAGGATCAGGAATGTTGCCATGGAGACCAGCTTTTTGAACCAACCTAACGGCCCACTGAAGTGGTACCCAGTACTCTGGAAGATAGCGTTGCCGTGTTTGTTTGAAGTAGTATTTGGCAATCGCCTCAAAAGCTCGAATTTCCGGCTCAGTGATTATCTTGCCAAAAGTTTCTCGTACCTCTAAAGAACAAAGTTGGAGGAGGGGTTTATGCGCTTCCTTATTTTGGGTGCCGAAAATTGTAAAACCGCGTTTGTTGAGTTTGCTTGGTCTTAAGCTGGACTCTAGGAATGCTCAAGGCTAGTGAATAGTCTCACGAGGCTGAGCGACCAAGGACAGTCGCTAGCACAAGTAGGTAGAATCTCATTGGTTCTTGCTTGCTGGTAAATTTTAGAAACGAATTACGGAGCGTACAGCGTCTCATCTGCAGTGAGGCTCTAGAAGTATCGTCGGGTCGAGGAAATAAGTCTACTTTAAAGTAGGACTTCGAAAGGGAGACTAAGAGTAATCTTATTCATAGGTCTAATCCTTCAGTAAACGAGACTTGGTTTCCACTGCACCTCTGTTCCCCTACGCACATGTAAAGGCGAGGGGCGTACCATGTTCAGCAACTATTAAATGGCAAAATGAAATCGCTGAGGTCACTCGATAAATAAAATGGTGAAATAAATGAAAGAATGGGTAAGAGATGTAAACACAATAACACCAGATAACTTAAAGGGTATGTGGGTGTAGGATGACAAAAAGGTGGAAGTTTGTAATGCATTTTTGGGTTTGTCAAACTACTAACTTACTTCTGTCCTTGTTAAATCCACGCAGTGTAGCCCGAATACTCCATTCATCATCCCCCTCAAAGGCATTAAACATGTATATGCTTTGCCGTTGAGGGCTGGGGGAAGATGGAGACTCGTCTGTTAGCATCTGTGAATGGTAGACGCTCGTTTGTCTGTAAGAAAACGCCATTCCACCGTCAAAGGGAGTACGCGGTGTGCGAGCGGCACTGTGTTGGTTGCTACGGAACTGCATTGTGAAAGGTTAAAGAGGCAAAATTTGAGTCACTTATCAAAGTGAGAGTTCGAGCCTCTTTAATGGACACTTGCTATTGCCACGATATTGACACCAATGCGAAAAGATGAAGGTAGACTTCTGAAACCGCAGTGGTATGTTTTGCATTATTTTTTGCATTATTGTAAGCGTCCAAACTATTTTAAACAAACGATACTTAGGATCAAGTCTATCGTTACATACCCGCCCAGGATGCTCACTTTTAAACGCCTCTTAAGGCGATAGTATTTCTATGAGCTTTAACTTTCTGCAACGGGGACATGAAAGTCAACTCGTGCAAACAGCTAAACCACGTCCTCTTTGATGCAAATAAAGATAATCCTCTCAACCTCCTTGTCAAATAACAACTTATGTGATGTGTCTGACTTTCCTGATGCCTCTCCGTTTTGCAAGATCTACCTTCGAAAATGCGCAAAACTGCAGACAGTAAAGTCGTGACTTCGAACTTTGCGCCTGTATGGGTTAGATCGTTCCACAAAGAAAATACATGTTTAAGTGCAGGTAATCATCAAATCGAAATGACTTTAGGACAAGTTAGTAACATCGTTGAAAACCAGCAAGTATTTTATAAAAGGGATCCCTGCGTACTTAGATACAGACGGACTGAAATATGCGGAATATTACGATACTTAAATTTTCCATTCGTACTTTTTAAATGACATTTTAGCATTTTAACCACTACAATGCATGAGTCCCTCTCATTTTCGTCTCCTTCAATGAGCAGACTTAATTGTACGCATTCCAGGCCCGGAGTAAAGGAAATTGAGTAGGGAGAAAAACGTGACCCCTTCGACGAAATGAGAAATAATCGTACCTTTAAGTCATAATTATGCCATAACTTTGAGCGACATTAAACCTTGTTTATAAAAATTTCCTAAGTGCTACTGCTAACTCACATTCCTACACGTCATAGGGCATGCTTTTGGAAAAACTCATTCGAAAAAATGCGACATTTATTTATGAGGAACAGTATATGTGCAGCTTGGTAAAAAAACCCAGCCTCTCTGATGCAATGGCATCATTCCGGCGGATCGCGATTTTTTTGAAAACTTAGCTGGAGTCACCATAGCAGCTGTACGTGCTATCTGTCCATTTAAAGTGAGGCTCAAATGAAATAAAGTGCCAAATTGCGCCGGAACCTTCTATGCAATAACTTTATATTTTCCATCTCGTTTCTGCGCGCACTTGCTTTAATGGGATTTTTTATAGATCCTTCGCCAAGCAACTTACAAAATTTTAAAAGATGCTTTATAAATTCAAAACCAAACAGAGTTATGTTTGTCTGGAACAAACCTGCGAAAAATTTAAACATAATCTGGTTGTCGAAAAGCAGATAGACCCGGTATATACAATGAAAAATAAATATATCTCGAAAAAGGCTGGTGCCTTTAGGAATCTTAGAGGTAAAATTAAGTGACTGACAGCACCAACCTGAGAGATGCTCCAAGGATGTTGATTAGCATGTTTCAATTTACTGCGTCGTTTAAATCTGCGAGTCCAGCCTTTGCAGCACCTGATGATCCCCTCTTCGTCACTGTCAGAGTCCTCGTCCAATTGCTTGAAACGATCGGCAATTTGATCACTAATTCGCCGCATTAAAAGGATCCAAGCCAAATTCATGTAGCGCATTAGTGAAAGTCTTATCTCACGCGCTATTGTTTTGTCAGCGCAATTCACAAACGACTGAAAATAACAATTTTGACACCTTTTATCATATTTGCTTAAAGTGGTTTTAGTAAAACTTTAGTCGTTTGTTTTTGGTAAGTATCCATGAGTGTGATATTGTGTTATTATTAAGGTAAAGCCCACTGACTTATTAGTTATACTGATCAGCTAATCTCTGATTGACGGGAAGAGTTAATTACACATACTAGAAAAACGCTGATTTGCCGGTTTATTTTTTCAATTAGAGGAATAGAGAGATAATGGACTGGCACTCACCATAGTCGTGTAGGCGATTTGATTCATCCATGGAATGTACATATACATCTTATACCATCTACCGATCACTCCGGAAACAAAGAACCCCAACAAGAAGGAGACAGGAATGTTGCCTTTCATATTCTCACAGAAGCGTACAACGTCTTCAAAAACTCTGTGGTTTGAAAGAAAACTCGTGCCTAGATTGCTGTTTTGAACATGTTATGCGTTTTCAAATTGGATGGCCGGCTTGCTAGCCGACCGGCCTACGTAAAGACGAACACATATGGCTGTTTTTGCCAGTTTAATGGTCAAAAGTGCTCTCGTATAATGCGGTGGTATGTACGTAGGGAAATTACATTAATGAAAAGACACACTTTCATCTGGCTAATTAGATTCTCTAATTTCAAAATTTTGAGTTGAAATTGGGGAACTAAGGCTCACCTTTTCTGACTCTCAGGAAGCACAAGGCGATATGTGAGACTAATCGCGTAGTAAACGCACAGGTAGAGTAGGAGATCAACCCAAACCAGTTTGTAGAGGCTGCCTTTCCATCTGCAAGACCATAATAAAGCATGTAAACGAGGATGAACTCATAACACATTTACGTCATCTCAAGTGGTCGTCCCCAAATTTGCACCTTTGTATTGCTGTAAAGCGGCAAGTGGCAAGGGGTTAGTAGTTTAAAGAGTGTCTCTTGCCTGAGAAGACTGTGTGTCACCAATTCCTGTGATGCACCCTCAAATGTCAGAAAATGGCGTATGTGGGGGCGGACGCATGGAATGGTTAAGGGCACACCTATAAGACCTTGAATGTATCACAAGAGAAAGAATTTTAAAATATCTCACAGCTCTAAGTTGATAGTGCAGTGAAATGAAAGAGGATTCGTACAACGAAAAAGTCCTTTAATTAGGGCGTGTCAATCTACCAAACCGCAATCGATTTTTACATCCTCGCTCAACTCATCGATCAATCAAGTGAACGTAGCCGGAGCACAAGTCAAACGCCACGATTCCAAAGTAAAAGAAATCGATAAAGGGTTAAGTGTCAACTCTGCCACACATGCCTAATTAATGCCGACACCACCTTGTGCGTGTGATGCGCGTGGCATTTGGAGACAGGGCAGGATAGAAAACAGAACGCGATAGGAGTGGACTAAAGGAAAGAAGGGGGAGGGGACGAGTAGGGGAAGGAGAGAGAGTCGCATTACCTTCGGAGAATCTTCAAGAAAATAAAGGCCCCACTGCCGTCGGAGATGTCATCCACATAGGAGATCGGCATGGATGAGAATGATGTTTTACGTGTGTGTACCTGTTTGAGTGTGTGTCTGTTGAGCGTATGCTGACAAAGTATAATTCACCCCTACCACATACACACACGCACACACAATTGCGCACGCACGCGAGCTAAATTCAAATTTCAAGGTTAAATGCGTTCATCTCAAGTGTTGCATGTCGGTGTGGCTTGTTACCTACCCTCTAGACCTTCCGTCCTCTTGAAAGTCCTCTTCTTGAGCAAAAACTTACGAATGTAAAAGGATTTTCAAGCTTCTCCAGTAGGTGTGATGCCAATCGGAGGTGGTTTGTTCAAAGAGAAGGCCTGGCATTTGTGGCATTGAGGAATGACTTATGCGACACCCAAAAGATTCACCCTCCAATGCAAAATAACGTGGCATAATGTAAATGGCTTTCTCTGTTTCACTCTGTGTGCATGTGGGTTCGTTTGTGTGAAATGACTTCACCTTTCAAACGCATTCAATGCGCTGCATTTTTCCGCCTAACTGATACCGCTTTCAGTGAGTTCATGTAAACAGTTAATGAGGCTCAGATTAATCAGTAGCGGTAATCTGAACCTTCAATGCATTTGAAATGGCATTCCATTTACCCATCTACCCACCTCTTTATCTGTCTATCAACTTGTCATTCATCATTTTATGACTCTCAGCAAGTCCCACTTGCCTATCCAATTCCCCATTAAGCCAAGCATATATATGGACGATCACTTTGTAATGATGTTAAAAATGAACGTTTCTTCTTTCCAAACTGTTTATTTTGCTATTGTTGCCTTAATTGAGAAGTCACCTGATTGAATAACTCAAGTTGGGATACTCGATGCTCGCCTAATTGACATTGTCTTCTTAGGCACAATTCCTCCCCAAAGTGTACAAACCTCACCTCAATATAGTTAACATTCTAGCAACTAAAACTCTTTACAATGTTAGAGAAGCATTCGATTACTTAAAACCTCTTACCTACCCAAGTAGAAGTGCCCTTCTGTCGGCAATCCCCACCACTTACTTGCAAGACCATGGACTCCAATCATGTTTTGCCACTATTCACAACCGTCAATAGCTCTCCCGCGCGTATCTGCATGAGTTGCTGCCAAGTGCGGTAATTGCCAGTCCAATAAACTCACCCCGCAAACAACAAATGGACTCACGTGCACTCGCTACTGAAATACTAAAAGTAGGGCGACCGTCTATAGGGAAACCCCATCTACTACGTGGCGTTTGAACCCTTTAGCTTCGCAATAGTTCAATCACACTCATCACTTACAACCAAGCGTCCGCTAATCAACGTTGATCAGTAAGAGAATCATGCTATATCCCCACAGAACAGACTCAGAGCTCGAAAATTTCTCCTCCCAATTCAGGCATAAGTTAGGCCCACAAAGTACGCACGGGATGCATGTTCGTGCGTATATATCGCTGACTACATTTTGTATTCATACGGAACGAAGTAGAAATAGAGGGAGAAAATTAGTAAACCACAGTGACAAGTGGCAGGGAGAAGTGTATCACAGAGTTTCTCACAGATGGGAAGAGAGGTGGAAAGGAGGAAAGAAAACAAGTCACATCATCCATCTTCATAATCACTCTCCTCCACGGGCAATTGGATTCGAACTTCGCCGGTTGGGAAGTGGGGAGGAAATTCGGTGGACGGGATTGTCTGTTCAGACGGTTGGACCTCAGATGTCAAGGCTGATAACAACAAAGAAACCCGTCTGATTATGCCAAGGAAAACCTAACAGCTTTTCATTTAGATGCTCCAGACGGCGAGATTTACCGCATTCATGCTTGCTTACTGTTGAAAAGTTAAATAGGTAGAAACTCGACCAAAAAAATTCACCTCGATGGTCTGTAAAATGCTCCCTTGTAAATAACCATAATATCAGAGCGTTCGACACATTCAAAGCCCAAACACTCCACAAACGCTTCTGCGCATGCATTATAAACTGTCTACCACACCTGTCGCAGTAGCTGGTGGAGCAGACTCGATGACTTCAGGAGGAGCCACTTCTTTTGCCGCCGTTCCTGGTACCGCT